TGTGTGTGTGTGTGTGTGTGTGTGTGTGTGTGTGTGTGTGTGTGTGTGTGTGTGTGTGTGTGTGTGTGTGTGTGTGTGTGTGTGTGTGTGTGTGTGTGTGTGTGTGTGTATGTGTGTGTGTGTGTGTGTGTGTGTGTGTGTGTGTGTGTGTGTGTGTGTGTGTGTGTGTGTGTGTGTGTGTGTGTGTGTGTGTGTGTGTGTGTGTGTGTGTGTGTGTGTGTGTGTGTGTGTGTGTGTGTGTGTGTGTGTGTGTGTGTGTGTGTGTGTGTGTGTGTGTGTGTGTGTGTGTGTGTGTGTGTGTGTGTGTGTGTGTGTGTGTGTGTGTGTGTGTGTGTGTGTGTGTGTGTGTGTGTGTGTGTGTGTGTGTGTGTGTGTGTGTGTGTGTGTGTGTGTGTGTGTGTGTGTGTGTGTGTGTGTGTGTGTGTGTGTGTGTGTGTGTGCGTGTGCGTGCGTGGGTGCGTGCCTGTATGCATGTGCGTGTGTGTGCTCCTCGACCCTGGGTGTCCCTGATGTCTGTCGTCCGCCAGGGCCATGCATTCTTCTCCGGGACATTCCCCAGCCTGCTCACCTCTCTGCCCAGCCTCACCAGCCTGTAAGTATCGAGTGAACACACATTTTCTGTCTATAAAGATCTCGGGCACAAGAGCAGCGCTGTGCAATCAAGGAGGAACACGTCAGTGACAGAGCAGTGTTTTTGTTGTCGTTGTTGGTTTTTTGTTTTGTTTTGTTTTTGTTTTTTTGTTATGTTTTTTTTTTTTCTTAGCATGCAACGAGCAATCCATCCACACTCTATCCAATCAACTCTTCCCAACAACGCATGCTATTCTGCCTCATAGGTCGCTGCGCTTCAACTACCTGACGGGCTCGCTGCCAACGAGCATCACAAAGATCAAGTCGCTGGACATCAATCAGAACTACTTCGTCGGCTCCATTCCCTCAGGCACCTGGTCCTACTGCGACGCCGGAAATAACTGCCTCGCCAGCGTGGGAAACTGCCAGAGCTACTTCCAGAGGTCCTCGTGCGCTATTTGCGGCAGCACTGACGGCACCGGCACTCTGTGCTCAGCGGGGCAAGCGTGTGTGCCGAGCTCTGACGCGAAGATTGCAGCGGGTCAGAACAACTATAATGGCGAAGTGGCCCTATCGTGCGTTTACCAGCCCATCACCATGAACTCTGCTGACGGTCAGTGGCGCCTCCCTTCCTTCTCGTTCCCAATCGCACGCGCCTGACATGAACACGCTCGCTTTCTGCCCCTCCTCTGTCCTCCTCGCACATATTCACTTCCCTGTGTGCACATATTCACTTCCCTGTGCGCACATATTCACTTCCCTGTGCGCACATATTCACTTCCCTGTGCTCACATATTCACTTCCCTGTGCTCACATATTCACTTCCCTGTACCATTTTCCCAAGTGAACCCTTCCCTCCCCTCCGATTCCATCTCTCACCCCCTTTCCATTCCCTTTCCTCCCCCATCCGCCCATCAGCGGCGGCCATGCTGAGCATCAAGGCAGCCATGGGTCTCACGTTTGAGATTTCTTAAAAGCAATTCCAGCCAGTGCAGCCATGGGACTCACCAAAGTGTCCTTCCCTCGTTGTTCCCTGTCTCGTGCGCCTCCGCTTTCCCCTGCCTGCCCTCCCCTACCCGCCCATCAGCTGCGGCCCTGCTGAGCATCAAGTCGGCTATGGGGCTCACATACACCACGTGGGCTGCCACGAATCCGTGCACTCTTGATGGCACTACTGGCAAAGCGGGCGAGTGGGAGCGCGTGAGCTGCACGGCTTTCGGCCGCGCATACGTGATGTGAGTGCAGGCGGCCAAGGAGGGTGTGTGTGAGTGCAGACGGCCAGGTAGGGTGTGTGTAGGCGCAAGGTATCGTGACCGAGTGGCCTAGGGCACAGGGTTTTTTTTTGGCGGGCGGCATTTAGGCACGAACATTATAGGTGTGGGTGCAGGCGGCAAGGCCACAAGTCCAGTTAAACGGCCTCTCATGCGCTGCCCCACCGTTCCTTTGTCTCCCTCTCATGCACAATGCGCTGCCCCGCCCTTCTTCTGTCTCCTGACATGTGTATGTATGTGCGCAGAAACCTGGACTCCGCAGGACTCCAGCGCAAGAGCTTCCCCGCAGACATCTCCAAGCTCACGGGGCTTGGCGCGGTGTAAGTGCTCTCTGCGCGTGCCTCTCCTCTGCGCGTGCCTCTCCTCTGCGCGTGCCTCTCCTCTGCGCGTGCCTCTCCTCTGCGCGTGCCTCTCCTCTGTGCGTGCCTCTCCTCTGCGCGTTCCTCTCCTCTGCGCGTGTCTCTCCTCTGCGCGTGTCTCTCCTCTGCGCTTGTCTCTCCTCTGCGCGTGCCTCTCCTCTGCGCGTGCCTCTACTCTGCGCGTGCCTCTACTCTGCGCGTGCCTCTACTCTGCGCGTGCCTCTACTCTACCATGCTCTGCTGCACGCAACGCTGCCAGCCATGGATGCATGCTGCCCCCAACCGCATGTGGTGGTGTTGACCAACGGCCCCTTGTCCGTGCTGCGTGCAGGTGGATGCCGTGGAACTACCTGGATGGCAGCCTCTCAGAATACCTCAAATACTTCTCTGCGCTCACCAACTTGAATCAACTGTGAGTGTCGTCGGGTTCATTGACTCTCTTCCCGCGGATGTCCTTCCGTGGATGTCCCATGCTGAGTACCAGCTCGGAAACACATACTAGGTAACTGTTGGATTTGAAGGCGGCAGCTCAGGCCACATGATGGTGTTAACGCCTTAACTCTTTCCGATGTGCCTGTGTGTGTGTGTGAGTGTGTGTGTGTGTGTGCTCGTGTGTGTGTGTGCTCGTGTGTGTGTGCGTGTGCGTGCCTGTGTGCATGTGCGTGTGTGTGCTCCTCGTCCCTGGGTGTCCCTGATGTCTCTCGTCCGCCAGGGCCATGCAGTACATGTTCTTCTCCGGGACATTCCCCAGCCTGCTCACCTCTCTTCCCAGCCTCACCAGCCTGTAAGTATCGACTGAACACACATTTTCTGTCTGTAAAGATCTCGGGCACAAGAGCAGCGCTGTGCTATCAAGGAGGAAAACGTCAGTGACAGAGCAGTGTTTCTATTGTCGTTGTTGTTGTTGGTTTTTTGTTTTTGGTTTTTGTTTTTTTTTTTTTTGGTTTTTGGTTTTTGTTTTTTTTTAGCATGCAGCGAGCAATCCATCCACACTCTATCCAATCAACTCTTCCCAACAACGCGTGCTACCCTGCCTCATAGGTCGTTGCGCTTCAACTATCTGACAGGCTCGCTGCCAACGAGCATCACAAAGATCAAGTCGCTGGACATCAATCAGAACTACTTCGTCGGCTCCATTCCCTCGGGCACCTGGTCCTACTGCGACGCCGGAAATAACTGCCTCGCCAGCGTGGGCAACTGCCAAAGCTACTTCCAGAGGTCCTCGTGCGCTATTTGCGGCAGCACTGACGGCACCGGCACTCTGTGCGCAGCGGGGCAAGCGTGTTTGCCAAGCTCTGACGCGAAGATTGCAGCGGGTCAGAAAAACTATAATGGCGAAGTGGCCCTGTCGTGCGTTTACCAGCCCATCACCATGAACTCTGCTGACGGTCAGTGGCGCCTCTCTTCCTTCTTGTTCCCAATCGCACGCGCCTGACATGAACACGCTCGCTTTCTGCCCCTCCTCTGTCCTCCGCGCACATATTCACTTTTCTGTGCTCACATATTCACTTCCCTGTGCGCACATATTCACTTCCTTGTGCGCACATATTCACTTCCCTGTGCTCACATATTCACTTCCCCGTACCATTTTCCCAAGTGAACCCTTCCCTCCCCTCCGATTCCATCTCTCACCCCCCTTCCATTCCCTTTCCTCCCCCATCCGCCCATCAGCGGCGGCCATGCTGAGCATCAAGGCAGGCATGGGTCTCACGTTTGAGATTTCTTAAAAGCAATTCCAGCCAGTGCAGCCATGGGACTCACCAAAGTGTCCTTCCCTCGTTGTTCCCTGTCTCGTGCGCCTCCGCTTTCCCCTGCCTGCCCTCCCCTACCCGCCCATCAGCTGCGGCCCTGCTGAGCATCAAGTCGGCCATGGGGCTCACATACACCACGTGGGCCGCCACCAATCCGTGCACTCTTGACGGCACTACTGGCAAAGCGGGCGAGTGGGAGCGCGTGAGCTGCACGGTTTTCGGCCGCGCATACGTGATGTGAGTGCAGGCGGCCAGGGAGGGTTTGTGTGAGTGCAGGCGGCCAGGTAGGGTGTGTGTAGGCGCAAGGTATCGTGACCGAGTGGCCTAGGGCACAGGGTATTATTTTGGCGGGCGGCATTTAGGCACGAACGTTATAGGTGTGGGTGCAGGCGGCAAGGCCACAAGTCCAGTTAAACGGCCTCTCATGCGCTGCCCCACTGTTCCTTTGTCTCCCTCTCATGCACAATGCGCTGCCCCACCGTTCTTCTGTCTCCTGACATGTGTGTGTCTGCGCAGAAACCTGGACTCCGCAGGACTCCAGCGCAAGAGCTTCCCCGCAGACATCTCCAAGCTCACGGGGCTTGGCGCGGTGTAAGTGCTCTCTGCAAATGCCTCTCCTCTGCGCGTGCCTCTCCTCTGCGCGTGCCTCTCCTCTGCGCGTGCCTCTCCTCTGCGCGTGCCTCTCCTCTGCGCGCGCCTCTCCTCTGCACGTGCCTCTCCTCTACGCGTGCCTCTCCTTTGCGCGTGCCTCTCCTCTGCCATGCTCTGCTGCACGCAACGCTGGCAGCCATGGATGCATGCTGCCCCCAACCGCATTTGGTGGTGTTGACGAACGGCCCCTTGTCCGTGCTGCGTGCAGGTGGATGCCGTGGAACTACCTGGATGGCAGCCTCTCAGAATACCTCAAATACTTCTCTGCGCTCACCAACTTGAATCTACTGTGAGTACCAGCTCGGAAACGCATACTAGGTAACTGTCGGGTTTGAGGGCGGCAGCTCAGGCCACATGATGGTGTTAACGCCTTAACTCTTTCCGATGTGCCTCTGTGTGTGTGTGTGTGTGTGTGTGTGTGTGTGTGTGTGTGTGTGTGTGTGTGTGTGTGTGTGTGTGTGTGTGTGTGTGTGTGTGTGTGTGTGTGTGTGTGTGTGTGTGTGTGTGTGTGTGTGTGTGTGTGTGTGTGTGTGTGTGTGTGTGTGTGTGTGTGTGTGTGTGTGTGTGTGTGTGTGTGTGTGTGTGTGTGTGTGTGTGTGTGTGTGTGTGTGTGTGTGTGTGTGTGTGTGTGTGTGTGTGTGTGTGTGTGTGTGTGTGTGTGTGTGTGTGTGTGTGTGTGTGTGTGTGTGTGTGTGTGTGTGTGTGTGTGTGTGTGTGTGTGTGTGTGTGTGTGTGTGTGTGTGTGTGTGTGTGTGTGTGTGTGTGTGTGTGTGTGTGTGTGTGTGTGTGTGTGTGTGTGTGTGTGTGTGTGTGTGTGTGTGTGTGTGTGTGTGTGTGTGTGTGTGTGTGTGTGTGTGTGTGTGTGTGTGTGTGTGTGTGTGTGTGTGTGTGTGTGTGTGTGTGTGTGTGTGTGTGTGTGTGTGTGTGTGTGTGTGTGTGTGTGTGTGTGTGTGTGTGTGTGCTTGTGCGTGCATGTGTGCGTGCCTGTGTGCATGTGCGTGTGTGTGCTCCTCGTCCCTGGGTGTCCCTGATGTCTCTCGTCCGCCAGGGCCATGCAGTACATGTTCTTCTCCGGGACATTCCCCAGCCTGCTCACCTCTCTGCCCAGCCTCACCAGCCTGTAAGTATCGAGTGAACACACATTTTCTGTCTGTAAAGATCTCGGGCACAAGAGCAGCGCTGTGCTATCAAGGAGGAACACGTCAGTGACAGAGCAGTGTTTTTGTTGTCGTTGTTGTTGTTTTTTGTGTGTTTTTGTTTTTTTTTTAAGCATGCAGTGAGCAATCCATCCACACTCTATCCAATCAACTCTTCCCAACAACGCGTGCTACCCTGCCTCACAGGTCGCTGCGCTTCAACTATCTGACGGGCTCGCTGCCAACGAGCATCACAAAGATCAAGTCGCTGGACATCTATCAGAACTACTTCGTCGGCTCCATTCCCTCGGGCACCTGGTCCTACTGCGACGCCGGAAATAACTGCCTCGCCAGCGCGGGCAACTGCCAGAGCAACTTCCAGAGGTCCTCGTGTGCTATTTGCGGCAGCACTGACGGCACCGGCACTCTGTGCGCAGCGGCGCAAGCGTGTTTGCCGAGCTCTGACGCGAAGATTGCAGCGGGTCAGAACAACTATAATGGCGAAGTGGCCCTGTCGTGCGTTTACCAGCCCATCACCATGAACTCTGCTGACGGTCAGTGGCGCCTCCCTTCTCGTTCCCAATCGCACGCGCCTGACATGAGCACGCTCGCTTTCTGCCCCTCTGTCCTCCGCGCACATTTTCACTTCCCTGTGCGCACATATTCACTTCCCTGTGCGCACATATTCACTTCCCTGTGCGCACATATTCACTTCCCTGTGCTCACATATTCACTTCCCTGTGCTCACATATTCACTTCCCTGTGCGCACATATTCACTTCCCTGTGCGCACATATTCACTTCCATGTGCTCACATATTCACTTCCCTCTGCATACATATTCACTTCCCTGTGCTCACATATTCACTTCCCTGTGCTCACATATTCACTTCCCTGTGCGCACATATTCACGTCCCTGTGCGCACATATTCACTTCCCTGTGCTCACATATTCACTTCCCTGTGCTCACATATTCACTTCCCTGTGCTCACATATTCACTTCCCTGTGCTCACATATTCACTTCCCTGTGCTCACATATTCACTTCCCTGTGCGCACATATTCACTTCCCTGTGCGCACATATTCACTTCCCTGTGCGCACATATTCACTTCCCTGTGCTCACATATTCACTTCCCTGTGCTCACATATTCACTTCCCTGTGCTCACATATTCACTTCCCTGTGCTCACATATTCACTTCCCTGTGCTCACATATTCACTTCCCTGTTCTCACATATTCACTCCCCTGTGCTCACCTATTCACTTCCCTGTGCGCACATATTCACGTCCCTGTGCGCACATATTCACTTCCCTGTGCTCACATATTCACTTCCCTGTGCGCACATATTCACTTCCCTGTGCGCACATATTCACTTCCCTGTGCGCACATATTCACTTCCCTGTGCGCACATATTCACTTCCCTGTGCTCACATATTCACTTCCCTGTGCGCACATATTCACTTCCCTGTGCTCACATATTCACTTCCCTGTGCTCACATATTCACTTCCCTGTGCGCACATATTCACTTCCCTGTGCTCACATATTCACTTCCCTGTGCGCACATATTCACTTCCCTGTGCTCACATATTCACTTCCCTGTGCGCACATATTCACTTCCCTGTGCTCACATATTCACTTCCCTTTGCTCACATATTTACTTCCTTGTGCTCACATATTCACTTCCCTGTGCGCACATATTCACTTCCCTGTGCTCACATATTCACTTCCCTGTGCGCACATATTCACTTCCCTATGCTCACATATTCACTTCCATGTGCTCACATATTCACTTCCCTGTGCGCACATATTCACTTCCCTGTGCTCACATATTCACTTCCCTGTGCTCACATATTCAATTCCCTGTGCTCACATATTCACTTCCCTGTGCTCACATATTCACTTCCCTGTGCTCACATATTCACTTCCCTGTGCGCACATATTCACGTCCCTGTGCGCACATATTCACTTCCCTGTGCTCACATATTCACTTCCCTGTGCGCACATATTCACTTCCCTGTGCGCACATATTCACTTCCCTGTGCGCACATATTCACTTCCCTGTGCTCACATATTCACTTCCCTGTGCTCACATATTCACTTCCCTGTGCTCACATATTCACTTCCCTCTACTCACATATCCACTTCCCTGTGCTCACATATTCACTTCCCTGTGCTCACATATTCACTTCCCTGTGCGCACATATTCACTTCCCTGTGCTCACATATTCACTTCCCTGTGCTCACATATTCACTTCCCTGTGCTCACATATCCACTTCCCTGTGCTCACATATTCACTTCCCTGTGCTCACATATTCACTTCCCTGTTCTCACATATTCACTCCCCTGTGCTCACCTATTCACTTCCCTGTGCGCACATATTCACTTCCCTGTGCGCACATATTCACTTCCCTGTGCGCACATATTCACTTCCCTTTGCTCACATATTTACTTCCTTGTGCTCACATATTCACTTCCTTGTGCGCACATATTCACTTCCCTGTGCTCACATATTCACTTCCCTGTGCGCACATATTCACTTCCCTGTGCGCACATATTCACTTCCCTGTGCGCACATATTCACTTCCCTGTGCTCACATATTCACTTCCCTGTGCTCACATATTCACTTCCCTGTGCTCACATATTCACTTCCCTGTGCTCACATATTCACCATCCAGGGCCAGACGCCCATCGCTGGGTCATGGACCGGCGTGCGCTGCTCGCCGATCGGCCAAATCGTCAGCCTGTGAGTGCCGCCGCTCCTGTTGCTTTTGAGAATTCTCAAAAGTAACATCAACATTGCCTGTGAGTGCCGCCGCTCCTGTTGCTTTTGAGAATTCTCAAAAGTAACATCAACATTGCCTGTGAGTGCCGCCGCTCCTGTTGCTTTTGAGAATTCTCAAAAGTAACATCAACATTGCCTGTGAGTGCCGCCGCTCCTGCTGCCCCTCCTTATGCTACCCCACCTTGCCTGTGCGCCGCTGGTGACTTTTGAGGCGCCTCAAAAGCGCCTAACCTGCTGCCCTCTCCCTATGCTACCCCACCGTGCCTGTGCGCCGCTGGCGCTTCTCCGGCTTCCTTTCACTCACCTCTCTCCCTGCCCCTGTGTGCTTCTGCTGCTGCTCCGTGTGCCCCCTGGTGCTGCCTGAAACCTGGTGTGCAGGGACCTGAGGAGCCAGCTGTTGAGTGGCACCGTGCACTCCGACATCAGCAAGCTCTCCACCCTCACCTCGCTGTAAGGCAACCCTCACTTTGCAGTGAGCCGTGTGATCATTGTGTGAGGACGGCCCTGTACTGCCCACGTCCCATGCCCCCAGCTGTGCTGCCCACGTCCCATGCCCCCAGCTGTGCTGCCACCAGCTGTGCTGCTCGCTGCAGCCACTTGTCAGCCTCTCAGCCTCAACACGGCAACACAAGCCAATTCTCTCTCTCCGCCCCTTCATCCTCTTTCCGCCCTCGATACTCCACCACCCCCCACCCTACTCCTCCCCCAAACCTCCCCCTCCCCCCCCACCCTCCCCAGCTCCCCTCAACGGCCAAACCCCCTCATCTAACCCCCTCCGCCACCCCCCTGGGCGTGCATGCAGGCGCATGACCTCCAACCTCTTCTAGTTTTGAGGCGCCTAGAAACCTGACCCCCAACCTCTTCTTCCACCGCCTCGACTCCTACATCGTGCCCATCACGCCCTTCTTCCACGCCCCTCCCCCACGCCCCTCCCCCACGCCCCTCCCCCACGCCCCTCCGCCACCCCCCTGGTCCTGTGTGCAGGCGCCTGTCGTCCAACCTCTTCTTCAACCGCCTTGACTCC